ACGTTGTTGTTAATTTTTGTTCATTGATATTTTTTAATTAATTCGATTCAAACGATAAAAAATTGATAAGGGTGTGTGTGAAAAGTAAAAATGAGTGTTTAGATAACACTACTCTAAAATTATAAACGCTCCTCGAAGGAAAATATTGAATCCGAGCTTCTGCATTTAACTTCTATAAAACTTTCGCGTTTTGCTTCATTTTAACTATTGCAAGGATCCAACAATTTAAAACAAGACACAGCATATAAGATAAATTTTAGTTTTATTTTTGTTTTCGTCCGTGGTATTTTTTACATAGATCCTATACAGATAACTTATATAGAGATTAATTCTTCTTTGGAATGAATCTAAGTTCTTACACACATCACTTTTTAGATCGAGTACGATGAAAACTGTAAATATAATTGACAAAATTTTTGAGAAAACTGTCAACAATATAATGGTGTGGTATCGTAGGATCATATTATTGTTTGATTACAGGAGTACTGAAATTTAGGGAATAAATATCACCTTGCATATCTTTCACAAGGATTTAGAGACTTTCTTGAATGCTTCTTTAACCGTTAGATCTTTGTTTAAACATACAAAATTAAGACCCAACGGTTAGATCTTTGCTTAAAACATACAAAAATTGAGACCTAACGGTTTAAACATCCAGAAACTGTACTTCATATAACCAATAATTTTTGCTTTCACAAATCAAGTTTAGGGAAGAGAGATGTTCTTTTGTGCACTTTTGTTTTTATCATATATTACCAGTTGCGTACTTGCATTTGGCATTCTGGTACTTATCTTTTACTTTGCAATCCAAGCGTATTTTTCAATGATTTACTTCTGGAGTTATCCATTATTTACGTATGAAGTTGTGATGAGATGAAAAACCATGTTGGTGTCAGTTAGCTAGGCTCAGAAACAAACACCAAGATCTGAGCTCGATCAAGAACATGAAAATGCATCAAGAAGCCTACTTCAAGAACTTTATTAACTTCCAAAAGCTGAGAAATTAAGTGATTAAACTAAGCTTTTCAAAAGCTGTCAAACGTGATTTATAGGGAGCCCTTTTTAAGGCCAACCACAAAGGTTTTATATCTATGTTTTTCTTAGTACAAAGACCCAAGCATAAATTCGAAAGAATAAGACATAATCTTAAAAGTCAATTCTTTTTCCTCTCCTTTTTTTGACCTTTCTAATTGTCCTACCAAACATTCATCCATGCAGGAATCTTCTCCTTCTCTAGGTCTAGGCTAACCTTCAACTTTAATTAAGATATTTTGGAATATATAGTTTTGTGTATTGTCTACGTCCTACTAATGTATAAAGTTTACAAACTCATGCACAAACCTTAAGAGTTTATCTTTTTATCAACTTCCCTAACAAATTTCAGCTTTTTGGTAAAATCTAAGTGCCTTCAAATAAAGTTCGATATGAAGGGTGAAAGCAACCGTGCATTTGCAGTTCACTGGATACACAATTGATTTTTTTCCCCTTTGGACTGATATGATGACCAGCGTTCAGAATCAAATCTTGTTGATTAAATTCATAATTTTGTATGGTTAATTCGTGAAAGTGATGGGCTTCACCAAGTAGAACAAACAAGAAAGACATAATTTTTTTGGATTTACTCCTCTGAATGTTTTCTCATGATTCATACATTTTTTTCCTCCCAATGTGTCAACTGTAGTAGGAAGAAAGAAGCTTAAAAGGGGTAGTTACCAAACACCGAGTGAAAAAGTAGCGTATAAGCAAACTACTTTTAATAATATATTTTAGTGAAACAGTTATTATCACTTTAAAAATTTCATTCTACATTCCTTATAAATGTATTTTTCTTTTTAATTATAGAAAATTTGGAGTACCAAATGAAATTTTTACAATGCTAATAACAATTTCATATTTTAAAAGTAATAAATTATATTATATTTAGTGCAGAATTTTCTGAAAAAGATGGTGCGATAAATCAAAAATCAACAACTCAGAAAAGCATTACAAACAAAGTGGATTACTTCGGCTAGAAAAAAAGTGGATTATAAGTTTTAACTAAAAAGTAGCCCGCAGCCACCTTGTTTTGAAGGAAAGGGATTCTCGCCGAATCCTTTTTCTAGGGATTTCAGAAATTCCTAGATCGTGATCGTGATCGATTATCGTATATCGTAAGGTCAGTTTTCGTAAAGTATTATTTATATTTAATTTTAAATTTTAAATTTCAAATGATTTCTCACCACATGATATACGATGAACGGTCATGATCACAGGATTCCCGGGATCCCCAAAAAAATGATCCGGAGAGAATAATTTTCCTCTTTTGACTAGTAAAAAAAGAGTACAAATCCTCTCTGGATCTAAAAAAACGGGGTCTAAGGATCAAATGATCCGGATCTTTGAAATTTGATACAACGGCTATAATTATTATAACTTTTAGAGGGAATCCCTATTTGTAACCGTTAGATCAAATTTCAAAGATCCGGATCATTTGATCCTTAAGGTACTGTTTGGTACGCAGACGAGACGAGACGGGACGGAACAGGATGGGACGGGACGGGACGGAACATGACGGAAGAGATGATGTAAATATTGAAAAAGATAAGGAGAAATTTTGTCATAAAATGTTATAAATTTGTGTTCCACGGATGTGGAACGGGTCGTTCCAGGGGGAAGAGGTGGAACGAAAAATCAGTCAAATTTCGTCCCATAGGACAACCCGTTCCACAGTTTTTAGGCACACCAAACGTAGGATGGAACGGCTTCCGTTCCACGTATCAAACGGTACCTAAGCTCCCTTTTTTTGGATGCGGAGAGGATCTTGTACTCGTAAAAAAATGATTACAACACTATAGACATTTGATAGAATAACATCCGGAAGAAAAAGGGAAAAAGCAACAAGAAAGACTATATGCGCAATCAAATTGGATTTAACAGTCTATCCAAATTGCATGGCTGTTTTTGTAGGAGAAATTTTGTTGAATAAAGTACAAAAGTCTCTCGTTTTACAAAACAAAAACAATTTATATTAAGCAGTTTTAGTTTTAATTATATTAAAACATTTTGTATAAAAACTTCACACCTATTGATTGTATGGGTATTAAAAATGACAATATCGATACTATTAGTTGTGGACTACATTTCGCTGAAAGTTAACACTTTTCTAAATGTCACTATACAACTATGTATTTTATTTACTTATTATGTAACTGATTACATGATGAATGAGATAAAGCATATTATGATCTACACACACACACACCAATGTTAGGAATTATCTTTTAAGCGAAACGATAGTATTTTTATAATTACATTAAAAATAGGGGTGTGATATCCACACACCCCATTTTACTTCTTACACATTTTTTTAATTTTTTGCTGTCGGATCGAATGAATTGAAGAAGATCAATGGACAGAAATTATCAAAGGGTGTGTGAGAAGTAAAATGAAGTGTGTGTATAACACACCCCTAAAAATAATAAAAATTTCAAAGAGGGGACTGTGGATATAATTCGGGAGGTCCTTAAATCAAATGGCTTCAACTTATGTATTGGCCAGCTTGGTCAAATTAGTAGCTACCATAATGGTAAATTTATCAGTATGACCGAATCCGAGAAGAAGCAAAAGAACGCAATCAAGTTTTAAAGTCATCAATTACAAGCTCACTTGACTTAGTCGGCACTCTAAAGTCAACATAACTCTATTCCTGACTAGAAATTCAATTACTTGGCAAACTGACACTTGAGAGATTATGCATACAAAACCCAGAACATAGCTCACTGGATAACACTATTTGAAGACAAACAGCGCCGGCTACTAAAAGAAACTGCAGAAGAAACAATTAGTGTTACCAACATGAATTATGTGCTCAACGCCATCAACAAAACTACCGAAAACAAAAGAACAGATTCAGAAGTAGCCAATAACACAAACACAAAATTAAAACATTCACTTACAGTGACATACAAAAAATCTCACCATATATGTACTTATTGACCAAAAATACCAAAACAAAATCTCAACAACATGAATTTAAAGTACGAAGAAATAAACTACAACACATCATGTGACCAATCACCAAATCAGAATGAGGATCTCTCCGTAGGACAATGATTGTCTGCGCTCCTTGTTGGCGTGCCCTTCTATTTTGTGTGGTCACGGTTAAGCCACGTCAATATTTTATATTATTTTTTTATAGCGATAATAAGACAAAAATAAATAGTAATATAAAATGTTGACGTGGCTTAACCGTGACTACACAAACAAGAGAGCATGGGAGGGCACGGGAATAAGGAGGGCAGACAATCCTTGTCCCTCTCCGTATCCTCTTGTGAGAATCTCCGTATTCACTTTGTGAGAATCTTAGAAATTCTCACATTATTACCGTTTATCGTAAATCGTGAGATCAATTTTCGTTAGATACTATTTGTATTTAATTATAAATAAAATAATTTAAAATAATTTTGAACCACACAATATACGATAAACGATTAGAATGTGAAGATTTTTAGGTTTTCACAATTGGAATCATGATGAAATCCAAATCCACCGAAACAAAATACAAACCCAGGGAGCACATTTTCTCTTTGAGATAGGCTTTTCTTGCAAGTAGTCTTTTTGTGCTTGTAGGTATTTAGCGTGTCAGTCAATATCAAGAACTAGTTGTCTTGTCAAGAACACATCGAATTATGTGTTAATTAATGTTATCCATAGTACTAACTAATACCTGTAGGATTAACATCTTGTTAGTTAATTAGTAACGGTGATTATGTACCAAATGTCTGGCCACCCATGTTTCAACCTAGGGAATTATGCAGCGCTAGTTAGCTTGGGAGTGTAACAATTCACCTTGTACAAGAGGGGATTCAACAACCCTTTGAGTCTTTGACCTTGTAATGTCTACAGGGATAAATACAAGTGTCTACAGGGACAACTACAAGTCAACAGAATTTTATTTTGTTTGTTCGGTAGGACCTGCCATTCCATATTTCCATTGCTTTCTTCTCCAAGGCATTCACGCTCTTCTCTCAATAAAAATTAAAAAAAAAAAAAAAAAAAGAGCTCCTTAAAAACCCAGCAATCTGTATTTCCTGAAATCCCTTTCGGAAACTATTAATCCGATTCTTCTTGTTAGTTTTATCCCTGATCAAAATTTACTTGGGTTCCTCTCCCTCTGTTCAGTCTACGGTTCTCTCCAATTCACTACTACCAACTTTTGAAAAAAAAAGAAGAAGAAGAAAGAAGCCATGGACAGACGCCGCAGAAAACAAGCCAAGACTAGCACTTCTCGCTCTGAAGGCAAACCATCCAACCCTTTCTCTTTCCCAAAAATAATTTTCTGGGTTCTCATCTTTTTGTTCAATCTTTAATGGGTTTTCTTCATTTCTTCTTTTTGCTCAAATTTCACTCTTTCTTTGGTTGATTTTCCATTTGAAAACAATGTAAAAAAGAAGCAAACTTTAGGTTAATTTCTTTGCTTCTTGCTACTAATTTGTTACCATGCTACACTATTTTAATTGATGCAGCATTGGTTGTTTCCAATAATTAAAGTCTCTATTTCTGTTTGTTGCATGTAATTTGCAGAGGTGAGCAGCATTGAGTGGGAGTTCATAAACATGACTGAACAAGAAGAAGATCTCATTTGCAGAATGTATAAGCTCGTCGGAGACAGGTAATTGCAAATGTGCCATTTTTTCCTCTTTCTGACTTTCACCTTCAAAAAGACTGGTTTTTTCCTTTTCCTTTTTAGGCAAAAAAGATATATGATCCTTTATTCTAAAGGTGAGAAGCAGAGCATTCGACCGGGCCAGATCATGAGTGAAATATCATGATCGGGTCGACCAGGTGATTGAGATTGTGATAACTGCAGCCTTCACATTTAAGATTTTTTGAAACCAAAGTACTTCCACCTCAAGCACCACCATCATATTTAATATTATTTTTTTCACCATATAATAGTTTACGAGTGTCATCTAAATAATCGTTTAGTGATTTTTTTTTTCTTCTCAATATTTAGAGGTCATCAGTTCGAACCTACTTCCTGGTTGACAAAAAGTTAAAAAATTTGCTCCCTTATATCCATATGCTAAGGAAAATGCTTTAGAAGTTAGAAACCTACTCTTTCGCAGATTTTGCGAAAGAACCCTAACTGGAGGGAGAAATCTTGGTTAGGGGGTGATCTCCCTCCACGGTTAGAGAGAGGGGCATTAACATGGTTGATTGCCAATCCAACCACCAATTTAATTAAGAGTGAGTGGAAAATCATCATGGGTCAGGAGAGGTGAATACCCGGCTTCAGTTGGCTTCCGAAATAACTCTGAAAAACAATTGGGTTTAGCAGCAATTTAAAAATATTGTTATGTAATTTTATATTTTATTGGAGAGAGAAGATTCGAATTTTATTGGAAAATAATCATGGGTCAGGAGGAGAGGTGAATACCCGGCTTAAGTTGGCTTCCGAAATAGCTCTGAAAAATAATTGGGTTTAGCAGCAATTTAAAAATATTGTTATGTAATTTTATATTTTATTAGAGAGAGAAGATTCGAATTTTAAGCCTCTTTCAACAAAATTGACCGAAGTACCTTTCAACCAATTTTACATGAATATATTTTAAGAGATTAAGAACCATATGAACCATATATACTTCTCTTATTATTAGAATGTGCTAAGTGCAAGAATCATACAATGATTTTCTCTTATTTCGGTCTTAGCTAGTGCAAAATATATATAAGTGATTTTGTAGAATGGTTTCTAACTAGACTTGTATATCGCTCAGGTGGGCTCTTATAGCTGGGAGGATTCCAGGTCGGAAAGCAGAAGAAATAGAGAGGTTCTGGTTAATGAGACATGGAGAAGTATTTGCGAGTAGAAGAAGAACGGAGCTTACGACGACCAATAACCGATACAATTCCTGATCATTTTCCCCTTGCCAGTAGCTAGGCAGTAATTAGGTTAGGCTAAAGAAAAATTAATTTTCCCTGGATTTGTTTTCTTTATTTTTCCTTTTTAACTCCTATCTATGTGTGTCACAAGGTGAGGTAGTTGTAGCTCACCTGTCGAGCTAAATTATTGAATTGAAACTACTTACCCTCTCTCTCTCTTTCTCTCTCTCTCTCTCTCTCTCTCCCCCCGGTACTGCAAAGACAAAGACAACATTGGAGAATGATCAATGAAAGATCTTTGAGCTTTTACAGCCCTGTACTTAGCATTTACTGTTTGGCCTATACAGCTTTGTCTTGTTCTCCTATGTGAACAGATGACTGGTCTCTATCTTCCCCTCGCTGAATTTTAGGGTTTCATTCAGTATATATACGTATATATACATACATACATACATATATATATATATATATATATATATATATATATATATCCATGCAACTTTTGTGTGTGTGTGTGTGTGTGTGTGTATCCATGCAACTTCAAAGTTTAAACTCTCCAACAGCCCTCCTTCCCAACCCAAAAAAAAAATAAATAAATAAGAAATCCATTTGAAAGTATATCTCTAGTCATGTTTATGGGCGATGCTATAATTAGAGTTAATTTAAGTGATGGAACATTCAATACTCCAAGGTTTCGTAAAATTTTCATATGTTTATATCACAGTTCATTCATCTTGACATTTGATAAATAAAAAGCAAAATTAACTTGTGCAGTACTATTTTTGCCCAATCTTTATTGCTAACGTTCTTAGATACAATAAATGTATACAACAAACGATTAGACTACAAATACATGAAAAATGTAAGCAAAACGGGCGATGGGGGATGAACGGAAAATGCATGCACTTCATTTCTGTGAGAACCTTGAGCATCAATAACGAACACGAATCTTTCATCAAAGAATAGTAGTACTCATTCATTAAAGATCAGATAGCCTAGGGTTGTACGTGGAATTTGTAATTAAAGCCACAAACGAACATGCAACATGAATGCGAGTTGGTGTAGCTTGCAGCTGCTTGCTCGACTGTGTTAATGGGGTCCTTCATCTAGTTATCTTCAATGTAATTTTGGATATTGTGGTGTCTTATATGTCCAAAAAGTAAACTTTCACATGAGTCGTACGATGATACGACACATCTCAATTAGGCACTCTCCACTTTCTGACCACAATCTGATCCGGAGCTGTGATAGGTGCATTATTTTTTATATTTTCATGGCAATTATTTTTAGGTTTGGTTAAGGAATTGATTTTAAAAGAGGTTTATTACTTTCCTTTTCAATTTCAACTAATATGTGCACTTAGAACGTTTTTCTTGATAAATCGATTTTATGGAGAAATTTTTACGCAAGGCCAATTGGAGAAGGAAGCTAAGAGGTTGAAGATTGTGGTGTCCAATTTCATAATTTTTCATGGAGCCATTCACAGTCTTGAAAGATATTTGATAGAAGTTGCATTCACGTCAGAACTGTGCAGTTGTGGGGGAAGATTCGAAAGCTTTCCCAATTTTTTCTAGTGACTTGAAATATATGTTTGAAAAGCTAAGACATAGAGCTACAAGTTCTCTATTTTCCAGAATATCCAGTACCTGAATCGACCCCAAATTAGGCATGATTTGTCTACGTGTTTCCTAAGCCAAGAAGGATTCATTCATAGTTTGTGTCATTAGTTGTTAAGGAATTTGAATTGTTTTAGGAGAATTTCTACAAGAACTTTTAGTGTTTTTCTAGTATAAATACGGTGTTCTAAGCTGTGACAACCCGTCTCTAATTTTACGAATTTATGAATTTTAAAGGCATGATTTTATGAATGTGACCTTAGAGGCAAGAGTTTTGATTTTTTTGTTGATCAGCGTATAGTGAGGCGTATGAAACTTTGCTTTAGCGTATCCCTAGAGTATTCGACAACACGGGCTCGTAGGCACGAGCAGAAGAGGATTTGGAGTTACGGTTAAAGTTCTAAGGAACTCTAAACTGAGAAATACTTTTATTTTGGTTACTATTTATATTTTTATATGTATTTAATTATAATTATTATTATTTTATTAGTTATTGGGAGAATTAAGGGAAAAAGGAAAGGGGGAGGTCGGGAAAAGAAGGAAAAAACGGAGGGGAGATAGAGAATGGGCAGAGTTGCCCAATCGGAACAGGAGAGAGGAAGATGTTGGGCCAACCAGAAAGAAGAGAGAAGTGAGGGACGAATCAGAGAAGGGAAAGGAGGTGAAAGGAGGAAGGAAGGAAGGAGAGGAACCGGCCGGGTTCCTCTTCGACCCGTGACTCGACTCGCTTTTGGAATTCCACCCTGACGTCGATTCCGGCGATTTCTCTGTAAATTGACCGTCGCCACCACCCTTACACGACTCTAAGACTCACCCCCTACCATTTCCACTTTTGAATTGAAGGAAATAGGCTCGGATTCTTGATGATTCTCACCGAGGGACTCCGGGGACACCACGACGGCGATTAGCCGTTTCTGAAGCTATCATCGTCGACCACCACCATGGGTCGACTCCTCATGAACCCATGAACAAGTCCCAAGCTTTGGTTGGGGCAGCTGAACACCGAAGGAGGTGGATCGAAACCACCAAATTTCTAGGGTTTTTCGACGGGTTCGATGAAATTGAAGCCTTTCTAGGCCAAATGGGACTTGGCCACATGCGCCAATCGTTTGTGATGCCTCGATGTTTATGCTAGGAAGTTGTAGCACGGACTCCAGGTGAGTGGATCTGTCCTTGCTTATCATATTTTTTTCATGAGTGATAATTCTATAAATGCTTTTAAATAAAAAATGAGAAATCTATGCCATGATATACATATACATATATATACATATATATATATATATACACACATTTATATGTTATAAAATACTATGAGATGGTTGAGTTTAGATTTCATCGTGATATATCCATATGTGTATTACTATAAATGATTCATGCAAACTACGAATGGCTTGATCCCTGTTTAGGGTACATAGACAGTCTAATAAGACGTTAGATGCAGCCATATAAGAAATGAGATTAAATAATCGAGACCATAATTTTTTTAAGGAATTGAGCAATAGGTGTGGGCTTTTGGTTTTCAGTATATATTATATACTTGATATTTTCCCAGAAATATGTGTTTAAATGAAAGTATGCCATAAATGTCATGCATATAAGTTTATAATTCGTACATGAATTGGTATATGATGCATTATATATAATTATGGTGCTATGAACACTCTGAAGTGCAAAGGTGAATACAGGACACTCAGGTAAGTTCAAGTAAGTTTAGGTAAACTCAAGTAAGTATACGGTATTAGTTTGATTGATGAGATATGTGATGAGATATGAATATGTCGTATAGGTCACTAGAGGTGACTCCAACTTATATGCTAGCCATGATTGTGAATATGTCGTATAGGTCATTAGAGGTGACTCCGACTTATATGCTAGCCATGATTAATGAGATATGTGATGAGATATGAATATGTCGTATAGGTCACTAGAGGTGACTTCGACTTATATGCTAGCCATGATTGATGAGATATGAGATGAGATATGAATATGTTGTATAGGTCATTAGAGGTGACTCCGACTTATATGCTAGCCATGATTGATGAGATATGTGATGAGATATGAATATGTCGTATAGGTCACCCTTGGTGACTCTGACTTGCGTACTATTATGAGTTATTAATCACATGGTTATTTGATATTATTTATGAGATGCTGTGTTGTGGTACATTATGATTTCTCTGGAAATTATACAGGTGTTGTAGCGAGGGATTACATGTTTTATATGTTTTTTATTCGTATTTTACTTACAGGGCCACTCACCCTTGTCTTGTCTTCACCCTTCAAGTATTATTAGCTGAGTTTTATTATCACCAAAGACTCGCGGCGATTCTTAGTATTGGAGGCTATTCCGAGGGTATGATTCTTATATCACTTTTCTATACTTGCTTATGCTCTAACATCATGTGTGAAGTGGGTACATTCCCGCTCACCAGTGCACTCTGGTAATAGGCACTCTTAGGTATATTCACAAATTTTCCACATCATCACACTTTATGGCTTCGTCACCTTCCAGGTGTTGGCCAGCACAGTTTGATTCGGAGTCCTAGTGGACATTCCGGGTCGGGGTGTGTCATAAGCTCTCTCTCATATCCCCCACATCATCACATACCATCATAACACACCATCTACACAACTCATGAAGAAGAGCTTAGGGACGTACCTTTCTATGATCACTGGTTCTATTTTTCTTTTATTTTAATTTTTATTTCTATGTGTAACTAAGTTGTTTCTAAGGTTTATGATGATCCCATGACATGAATATTTGTGAAGTACTTTGTTAATTGTTATTCGATTATATGTCGTGTTAAATTTTTAATCTTTATGGTTAATTTATTCTAGATTCGAATTTCTATTGACTGATCATCCTTAGGAATTTTTCATCTAGATACTTAAATAAATCTATGAGTATGACCAATCAATTAGGTTTATTGTAACTAGGATTAAAAGAGTTGATAAATAAGTGAGGATGACTAATATCAAGCTAGTCTTACTTGGTTGACATGATTTTTCTACACTTAATGAGTTTTTATGTGTTTAATTGTTTGTCTGAGTAATAGGATAAAGTTATATGCAATAACACATGAGTTGATGTGTAATACCCTTGTTTATACCATATTTAGGGTCTCGTATTTAGATTTCATACAAATACGCGGGGGACTTAAATGTAATTATGTGATAAAGGAAGGGACAAATATATAATAAGTGAGGAGTCCTTATTCTATAAAAGGACCCCTCTCCCTCACAATTAGGGGATGCCATATCTGGAGCCTTCTCACCCTTCTCACATCTCCTCTCATTACAGAGGCTCTCTCCCTCACTTCTCAAAGAAATACAATACAATCAGTGTGGACATAGCCCAAACCTTGGGGTGAACCACGATACATCTTGTGTTATTTACATTTCTTGCAGATTCACAGTCGGATTTACATTGTTCCAAGACTTCCGGTTTTGTGCATTAACATTTGGCGCCGTCTGTGGGAATCGATACGAAAAGTTGTGTCGGTTCTCTTTCATTTTTTTTCACATCCACTGTGAATCTGCAAAATCACAAAAACCCAGAAATAGATCCAAACCTCAAACACTCCTCACAAGCC